AAGAAAACATATTGGATCAATTCTTGGAATGAGGAAGAGCACTGAGAGAGGAAAGGGGGGAAGGAGTCGATATTCAAACAGAGAGGAACAACAGCTTTCCAAGGATGCGGACGGCTGGAGGGTCGATAGCACGAAGACACGCCGCGCATGTCTGCCGACCTGCCTTGGCGGCCCGACTGCCTGGCACACATTTGAATGAGAGCTGAGAGGAGCTGGGAGTTAGAGCAGAGGCGGAGCGGGCTTTGATCCTTCAGCCGCTGGCTCCTTTGATGCTGCCTGTGGAAACTCAGCAGCAGATTGGGAAACAAGGAGATGGTTTGGGTGGTTAGATGGATGTGTGTGGTTCTGTGGTTATTGGGCTTGGCATGCGAGTCTGAGTAAGACTGAAACCCAACAAACTCTGCCTTGCAAAATCATTCATAACTCATACAAATCCCCACATGATTATGAACATTAACCTGCACTGCTTTTGATTTTAAACTGTTTAAAAAATAGGGGGGAAGTGAAAAGACAAAACATTATATATATATAGTTTGGAAATTCTTTACAAATAGTATTGGAAAATGTGGCATCCTTTATCTCAGCGGTTGGTTAGAAAACATCAGAGAATAAAACGCATCATGAAGAGTAAAAGAACCCTGCAGAAATGTCAATTTTTTCAATCGTTGTTCTCAGCTGCAGCTCAAACTGCAGGGTTTAAAAGTTCACAGCTCACGATGCATGTCCTTACACTGTGTGGCCCGACGCTCTGATGCGATCTACTTGCTCACACTGTACGTCCACAAACCACACGTCGGACTCAACACCAGAGATGGAGCTGGTCAGACTCGTCAATCTGGAAGAAGAAAAAGAAAACTCCCTTGTTTGCACATGCACAGTGCGTGAGGTTCTGGTAAATCGCCTCATAGACACTTCAACAGCAGAATTTGCTGTTGAACGAACACCTCACGACGGCCGACTGAATTTTAAAAATCTTGATCTTACGATTCGTGATCAGGAGGTGGTCGTGAGAGGCTACTCGGCCCTCGTTACCCCCTGTATACTACACAACGCAAGACACACCATGAGCCTGATTCAAAAAAATTCTAGCATGACTGGAGAATCGGCCGAAAAGGGTAATAAATTGTACAGTGCAAAACAGGGCTGCTCAGTAAAGCAGTGGGCAGCACTGCTGTCTTGCAGCAAGAAGATCTGGATTAGATTCCTGGCCCGGCTATTTTTGCATGGAGTTTGCATTTTCTCCCTGAGCATGCCTTGGTTCTCTCCAGGTACTCCGGCTTCCTGAGTTAGCCTAATTGGCTTCTCTATATTCCCCTTAAGTGTGAATGTTTGCGTGAATGGTTGTTTGTCTCTGTGTTGCCCTCCGATGGACTAGTGACCTGTCCAAGGTACACCCCGCCTCTTGCCCCTAGACAGCTGGAGATAGGCAGCAGCACCATTCGCGGCCCCGCTTGAGCTAAGCGCGAATGGTGAAAATGGATGGATGAATGATTTCAAAACGGATGTTCAGTTTCCCCATCTGTCTGAGCTGAGCTGTTTCCCAGAAGTAAGGGCAGAAATATCATCATATAGATCAAAAATATCAAAAGATCATTCTCTGATGAACCAACCTATCTTCCCCTTTACAGTAAATCCCCAAAAAACCCATTGATATGTAGTAATCTGAGCACATTAAACACTTTTCTAGGCGTTGTTTGGTTAAAAATAAATCCATGTAGCTATTATTGGGTTTTAGGATTACCAAACAAACGGTTCTGACCAGCCCAATCAGACCACAGATTTAAGCCCAGAAGCCTAGTTTACTTCACTTGTCGTTTCAACATGTGAAGCTCATAAAGCTGTGGATCCAGACTGAGAGCATCCATCGCACCTCCACCCCCGTCCTCCCCTCCATCTCCTGTTTCTCTCACCTCTCTCATCTGGACTCCTCCTAGCCTGTCAGGATGATTTCAGGCTTGTTGCGTCTGGCCTGACTCTGTGTGGTACGATTGAAACAGTAATTACCAAGTCTCTGAATAGCTTCTCCGCCCCCCCCCCTCCTACCTATCATCCGAAGGCTTAACCCCACTCTCCCCGCTGACATGCAGAGGCTGCACAACAGGCTGAGCAAAGAACCATTAACCCATAATTAATTCACAACCACAATAACAAAGCAAATGTGACATTTAAATCCACCAATCAGTGTGGGATTAGGATCAAGGAGCACTTCTGATGGGCCGAGTCATCATCTAAACACCAGCAGCCATTAGGGGAATGGTTTCTACCATTACAACCAGTAGCTGTTAATGGTTTCAAACGCATTATACGATCAACCCAAAACAGCTCAGGTTTTATCTTAGGTTTGGCACAAAATCTATCGTCTGCTTCATCTCCAATAAATCCTCAGTTCGTGCCTCACCTGAAAAACCTAGAAAGTAAGTAGAACAAAACCACTGAAACCATCTGAGGAAGAGAAGAGCTGCCTTTAAAGCAGGAGTCATCTCAGGACGCCAGGCTCTGCCTCTCTGTGTGACGTTAATGACATGTTCTACTGTCGCTCATTCAATCAGAGCTGAACCAGGATTAGCTGTGAAGAAACAGGAAACGTGGGTTTTGCGGATGAATTCCTAAAGACCCCAGTGGTTGTCGGTTGGCGTTAAACAAGCAGAAAAACCGGATATCCCCAAACCAGGCTGTTTTAGCCTCAGATACTCTGATTACTCTACATTTAATCCTACCAGATGATACTATACAGTGACATGCATAGTCACTATGTGGTAGGGCTGAGCAATATTCAATCACAATCATATCACTATATTTGGTGATATTATCGTGATAACAATAAAAGTGACGGTAAAAAAACAAAACATTACTTCTTTCTGAGGTGACTGTAAGGCTGTGACGACTGTCCACAGCAATCATACCCCCATAATCAGGAGTAACACTATTGGAGAGAAGATGCACTTAAAATCAGCTTCTTCAGGACCAGTTACGGCAGTAAAAATCTGTAATAAAAATCATTAATTAAAAAATAATTAATAAAAATAATCAGGACACCAGTAAAAAAGCATCTAAGAATTATGTTAATTACTAAACATCTTATTTGAACCTCATTTAATCATACCCTTCACATTTGTCAATGCCCTAATGGAAAAAAAGTGAAAGAAAATAAATAAATAGTAAAAATAAAAATTCTGATAATTTATGAAGTTTATAAAGTTCTTAATTTTCACTGATTCTAATTTATCATTTAAATGATAAATAAAATTTTTGTATAGTAACTGGAAATGTATCAGGGCTGTTCAGTGGCACGGTGGGGAGCACTGCTGCCTTCTGCATGGAGTTTACATGTTCTCCCAGTGCATGCGTGGGTTCTCTCCGGGTACTCCAGCTTCTGCCCACAGTCCAAAGACATGACTGTTAGGTTAATAGGCTTCTCTAAAATTCTCCTTAGGTGTGATTGTGTGTGTGAATGTGAATGACCCCACTTGGGATTAAGCTTGTTCGAAAATGGATGAAAATGTATCACGATAACGATACGATATGCTAAGCCTGAGAAATTGGCAAATCTGTCGTCCATCGACGATAGACTCGGTCCTTCAACGGTTGTTTTTTTTAAGAGCTTTTTTTTTTTTTTTTTTACTATGGCTTTAGATGCAGCCCACGACAAAAAAAAGCTGTTTTTTGTGGTATACACAAACTCCTTCCAGCTGCAGCTTTTTTCCCCAGTGCCACCATGTAGCACTGATTTATCTACTTATACTTGAGACAGAGAGAAGGTTTTCTTTATAGGCATATAAAATGACTATGCTCCTTTAATAAATGTTTCCAGGTTCATTTTTAAGAATAAAAATGGATTAAACTGGCAGAGAATTTAAGTCAAAATGGCCCAAATACGATCAGCTTAGCAAAAGTATGTGGGGGCTGAATGGACCTGGTAAAAGTTTAATTGTTACTCAATAAAGTTAAAAAATTCAGAGTTTAGTCTATGGCCATTTTCAAACATGAATGTTCTTTTTCTTATTATTGTTTTGTTAATTTTTCTGATTTTTTATTCAAGTTTATTGAAAACCAGAAACAGGAGTTTTGATTTGAAATTGTAATGTTTTAATAATTCAGAATATAATTTAAATAGAATAAAAACTGTGACACACGTTTTTACTCCAAAATGTGAATGTACAACTATCGTTGTATTGCATGAAAATCATGACCTTTAGGTGTAGTTATTTAAGCTATAATATACGGTGAGCAATAGGAGCTTTAAGCAACATGGGTCTTTATTTTTTTCTGTTTAGAAATAAAAACGAAAAAGAAAGTTTTTATCCACTAAATGAAGCAGATCACAGAGGTTAAATGTAATGATGTCAAAACACATAAATGTTTTAAATCTTTAAGACTAGGAACATGTGCACCTGAGAAAGTCATGCAGTCGACCAGATCATTATGGTTTCCTGATATACACTGAGGCACATCAGTGGACATCAGCACTTCCTGTTTTCACTACATGATGACTCCACAGACCACCAAGGTCAGAATCTCTCAGTGGGGCAACATGAGCATCTGTCTTTTTAATATAACCCTCATCGCCACTTTCTGACAGGAAACAGAAAACATTCCCCCTCCCACAAAGTTAAATAAAGCTGCAGAGAGAAGCAGATAAGACTCAAACCCGTTCAATTAACAATAACAATAACATCATGAGTTGAGGTTAGAGGAAACTTGCCAGAACTGACTAGAAAGAGTCAGCTTTTGACAAGGGGGGTAATTTAGCCTTAAAAAGATGCAGCAGGTGAGGCCGGAGGTTTAGGGCCTCGAACATGGCCGCCCTAAGAAAGGAGCCTGTCACCTGGAGCTGAAACGCCGATCGGATAAAGAGGCTGTTCATAACTGAAAGGGATCAGATGTCAGCAGAGAAACCAACATGGAAATGAGGCTGACGCTGTGAGGAGGTGGAGAGATGCAGAATGGCAACAGAAGAGTCACGCTAAATAAACGCGTGTTAGAGAAACAGAATGACGTACTTCATCGGCTTGAACAGCGCCTGGCCGTAGTTCTGGAAGGTCATGATGAGCTTCAGCTGAGTGCCTCCAGACTTCATAGCTGTTGGAATCAAACAGAAAACAACAATATATAAATCACTTCAGGGTGTTTGCTATACATTTAAAGCTAAACAACTAAAGCAAAGCCTTTTCTGGGTTTTCTCTCCATTTTACAGGTTTTAACCAGATGGATTAAAGCAGCTCAGAAACAGACTGGATGCAGCAGAAACAGCCGAGCAAGAAAACTTAAAGACTTTCTGTAAACAGCATCTATGAAGCAGAACATTTTCCTTCAGTCCTGCTGCTCAACTCACAACAGGAAGAAGAGCGAGAGGTCAGTACCTCTCAGTTCACACCTACTCCGATAAATGGACCACATCTATTCAAACCAACTCAAAGCGCCTCATTCACTTGGCCTCACTTTAACACACTGTGGTGCCCCTGGTGCCTTCCCAAGGGGGAATGATCACATGTAGGACTGGTAACTGGAAGTGTATCAACATCTTCTGGGTTGAAAGACAACTAATCAAGCAAGTGATCAATTCAACACATCTGAATCAAATAATTAGATGACTGAGAGGACTCTTGCTAAGGAGGTAACTCAGTGTGTTGGACCAAGGATGGATCTAAAAGTTGCAGGATACTGGCCCCCAGGAACTGGAATTGCCCACCCCTGCTCTACAGCCAACTATTTAAAGGTAATCTGTGCCTGAAAATAAACTTAGAGTACATCCAACAAATTGGGTTTAATGGAAACCTTTGGTGCCTGTTTAACACAGTAAATCTTTCATTTTAAAGCCAGGCCTTAACATTCAATAATAAAATCATCCAATCTTTGTTGTTTGAAAGACTAATTAAAATAAAGATTAAAGGTATAGTAATGGACTTTCCAGATTTTTTTAAAACGACCCGCTCTCTCCACTTAAAAAAAAAAACTACACATGCACAACCCTGTAACCGCTCCTGAGCGGGAACGCCTATTAAACGTGAAAATTCACAAGCTCATTTCTCCTCCTGCACACTCTGTTTAAAAGTTGCTGTTTGCATCGCTCATACAAGCTTACTTTCCAAAAGAAGATTTGCAATTTTCCCACTATTTCAGACTCATATCACCAGAATGATTGACAATTAGGAGGACCACTTATTTAGATGATCCACCCAGAAGTAAAAGATAGTCCTCTAAACATTTAATATTAACCTTTTTGAGTATGATTCATGGATTATCGTCTATTCAGGGGCTCAAAAACAGGAGATAAACTGAAACATGTCCTGGTTGAGTATCCGGTTCTTCTGACCCTACGGTGTTTTGTTGTACATGTGAGCTTGTTCTGTGCAGCACTGCTTCGTTTCTCTGCGCCTCTTTCTGGGTTTCTGTCTCTCCAATCATCTTCATCTCTTCTAGTTTTCTCCTCCCCCCCCCAGCAGAATGATTCAGTCTGAAGGCACAGCTGGGACCCAAAACGCTGAAAAGGCAAAGGTGCGATTTCAGCACTGATCGATGGGTTCTGCTGCGTTCCAGTGGCTCTCTGCCAACGATCAATGCTTTCATTTATTTTTTTTACATAAAAAAATCAGGAAGCAAACTGTTTACACAGAAAAACTGGCGAGAGGTGAAGAGATCGATGTCTGATTGACCTGTGCAAAAGCCTGGGTGTCCTTCCAGAGTTCTGAACCGAGTTTAAAACAGCCGACTTGGGCTGTACTGATCAGGAACTCACGCTTGCAAGCAGAAGCCTTGGAAATACTGTCTCATTTCAGCCCACATGCAGTAAAAGGCCCACGTTGTTGTTGCAGAAGAGTTTATCTACGTCTCTGCCCGGGTTCTGCACTCTGACCGTCAGAGTTACAAACTGTTCCAACCAGCAGCAGAAATGTATCATATCTGCTTTGTTCACCAGCGCCTACTTTCATGAATACATCCAAGCATTCCTACCCTTAAGTCTAAATAATAGACAACTGCTGCTGGGCTCTACTGGTTTTCTGCCCAGGGCCTGTGTTAAGACTCTGTAATTACTGAAGCACCATGTATTTAGCTGGCAAGAGATGCTAGGAGCCGCTTCCTGTTTCCAAACAGGCTGTGAGTATGGAGTAATCTAAAGAAATTAGACAACATCTCCTTGAGATGACAGGAAAATAAAGTGTTGTATTATACCAGCAACCAGGCATGGATGGGAGTTTTATGAACAGCTAATCCTCCTAGATAAGCATTTAATCTCTGCTAAAGGGCAGTTATATTTTTGTCATTGCCAGATAAACTTGGAATCAGAAATGCTGTTTTTTTTTTTTTGTGTTTTTTTTACAGACGGCCGACCTTGAGTCGAGAAGCACTCTCGGAATGCTTGAGTCAAACGCGGCCAAGAAGGGGGAGATAAAAAAAAGGGTTATTCTAGGTGCTCCTGCGTGGATTTTTAGCTCAGCCTGATGCCAGATTGCATCCTCAGCAGGAGGAGATCTTCACTGCAGAAACGGTACACAGCTCCTTTCAAATTATCTAAAAAGTCACGCTGCGGCTGCTGGCCGTGTGACCGTCTGTTCCTCTCTGGCTCTTGACCGGGAAGGGCAGGAACGTGCAAGCTGAGGAGATCGAGGTGTCTGATAGCCTGCAGCTCTCTTTCTTTACCTCTTTCTTTATTTTTGCATACTTGTGTGTTTTTGCATGCTGGTGAGTCAATGTTCAGCATGGGGGCTGGAGGAGATAGTCCATCTGCTACACATTCTTTGGAAAACGTGTTTGAGATACTTGTTGTACGTTTGGTTAGTTATATTGGGGAAAATAGCAGCTTTTTATCTTTTATGTGAAAATTAAAACCAAAATGTCTCTCAGACAACAGGCTATTGGATGCAAGGGAAAAGTGTGCAGTAACAGGTGGAGGAGGGGCACGCAGAGCTAGTCCACTAAACTCTTTCTAGGATTTTCTCTAATATCTCCTGCTCTTCTGTTTTTAAATTTCTGCTTTCTCAATTCTCCAGCTGACTGCAGGTTATAGTGAGACTGGTTCTGGTTCTGATGGACCTTTTCTTCTCTTTAAAGGAAATAACTTCTTTCCATTGTCACCATAGGTTTGCTAAGAATTCACCATTGTCCTACCTCCGGTTTGTGTTTGTTATTCTAATATAAACTCAATAAGCTCACAGTGTCAGATTCTGCTGATGTGGATATGGCTCTCTGCACAGGGAGGCATGGTCAGTAGTGAGGGAGACAGGAAAAATAATCTAGAATATGATTAAATCCAAATTATCTGACAAATTAACCTGAGTATTTCCATGAGTCATTGATAGGGATTGGGAACCAGCTAATCCAACTTGGATTATTAACTATTTGTTCATTCCATAAAATGCTACTGTTTGCATGATCCTCTGTCTTAATCAAACCAACTCAAAATAGATTTTATCATATGAACTAAAAAGCTCACCGACGCTGGTGATCTTCTGCGTCGCCAGATCTTTAAGGAGAGCGTCGATGACCGGGTTGTGTCGGGAGTACAGCTCATAGCGGTTAATCCCAATGTGGAAGCGGAGCCAGTTGGGGTAGGACTCAGGCGTCAGCTCCCCTGTGGGACTAAACTCATCATCTGTACCTTCCCCGGTCCTGGACAGTGACAGGATGAAGACAGAGCAGTTACAGGACTGCCTGAACATGTCAATGACATTTAATCTTAATAAGCATGTGAACATGTAACAAGTTTTAGTTGAGAGAAAGTTTTATCATGGAAAATTTGGAATTTTGAAAATAAAAAGGGAAAAAAAAAAAAATAATATATATATATATATATATATATATATATATATATATATATATATATATATATATATATATATATATATATATATATATATATATATATATATATATATGTACTAAAGTGAAGTCTTTGTTTGGCTTTAACTATCAAATATGTTCTATAATTAGATCCAACATTTTGCAAAACGATTTTGAAAAACGTTTTAATTAAGTCATAAAGTTACAGATATGGCTGTCTAAAAGGTAGTGACAGTTTGAGATGGTCCAGTGTTTTTTTTCTTTTTTTTTTTCATGGGGGCAAAGAATAAAACCATAACACACACAGACAAAAAACAGAGCAAGTGTGCATTGATTAAGTGAGCCAGAGTTGCAGACCCGTGATCTAGCAGACAAATACTGCGATCCTATCTTAGTACAGCTGAAGCTTAAAGCCTATTCCATTTTCTAAATAATTGTTTAAGCAAATTGTCAAGGTGAAAAATTTACATTTTCCAAGGGATGTTTTATTTACTGTGTCTATTGTCAGTACGTCACTTCATAAGAAACTGATACAGTATAACACTGTAAAAACAGTTCTGATAAAAGTGGAGCTGTATTAAAATCTGTATATTTATCCTTATTTAAACAGGTAACTAAGGCGATCTACCAAAGGGAGGGTTTTCTTTATTTGGATAATTTGAAATTAGTTATTAGAGATGTGCATTTCTCATTTTACACATAAAACAGATTACCCCATCAGCAAATTGAATTTCCTACCAGCTCAAATTAAGGTAATATACTGATACTTCCATCAATTTTATTTATATTTTAAAGTTTGCAGCTTGTTTTCAGAACAGGGAACATAACAGGGGGGGCAGGACAAGTTCTACAGGTGGATGATGATATAATGGCAGCATAATAGTTTTAGTTTGACCCTAAACTGACTTTTCCTCCAGCCAAAGCAATGAAATCAGGTTGGCCCAGAATCTGAGCCAAAATAAACTCCTACCAGGCAGCTGATCTGGCTTTGGTCCCCCAGCCACCCTGTCCCTCCATCAGCCTATATGCGCCCCTGTTTACCATGCCTGGTCCTCCGCAGCTTTGGGGTCAAATCTGATGTCCGTGTTGACGTTGAACAGCGTGTCTTCATCCGTCAGAGGCGGCAGAGATCTTCTATAGAAGGGATGCTCAAACAGAGCAGACAGCCTGGAACCTTTGGCCGGTCTCCTGTGGGCCACCCCAGCCTCCTGGATGAAGGCTCGCTTCCTGTCGACGCGCTGACCGGGCAGCTGCGGACCGGGCGCCCTGTCAGCAGGGATCCGATCCAAGGAGCGGGAGGACGCGTTGGAGCTGGGCTCGCTGCTGAAGTCCTGAAGGATCCGCAGGGTGTGCTTGTTGGGCCAGCTCTGCTTGGCCCAGCTGCGGACCGGCTCTTCGCTCGGCGTGTGCGCGCAGGAGCAGCCGGCGGTGCCCTGGCGCTCCAGCTTGGGTAACAGGTCGATCATGATGTGCATGGAGCAGGCCACCAGGAACACCATGAGGATCAGGACCCGGAATTTACGCAGGAGGATCATCTTCACGGTTTCCTTCTTGAGCAGATGCGAGTACTTGGTGCAGATGATGAGGACGCAGATGACCAGGCTGACTACATCACTGATGATGTTAATCAAACTGGACGCCAGTCTAATGAGATACACATTGAACAAGTAGGACCCATCTTCACTGGCCGTCTTGAGGAAAGGATTCAGCGTTCAGCCTCCAGAATCTGCCACATCACCCGGATCCAGTCCAGAGTCGATCCCTTTACCATTCAAGTGAAGTCGGTTCGGGTTGGTTCTGACCAAAGGGAGATGTTTGCAAGCCTCATACTCATCTGCCCGGCCCTCTTCCCGTGCAGAAGAACAGGAAACACGGGATCTAAGATCCTCTCTAAACGCGCAATCCCACGAGACCCCGCAGCGCGCACGATCCGGGTCCGTCCAGCCTGGATCTAAAGCGAATGGGGCAAGATATTCAAAAAATGGAAAGGGAGATGTCCGGTTCGGCTGGATCAGTACTTAAACGGATTGAGGAAAGCGTCACATTTCAGTGTTGTTCAGGGAAAGTCCCCGGAAATAGGTGCCTTCATCCACATCCCATGAAAAACAGGCGCTGCGCTCAGGTATTCAGCGGGAGGCACCGCTGGGTTTCCTACAGCTGGAGAAAAGAATGAGCCCCTTGTAAGCATGTGGGAATCTGGGAGGGTGTGATAAATATGATGATGAAGCCCAGGATAGATCCAGCCTTTAGCGCAGCGTCACTGCGCGCAGATTGGCGGAGAAGAGCCGGAGAGAGAGAGGGGAAAACAGAGGGAGGAGAGATTCACTGGTGCACAAGAAGAGGGCGTCTTTCTGCTGCAGCCTGCACGCTTCTCAAACTTCCTTCTGCTTTCTCCATAACCCATCGATAGACAGATCTATTAGAGCCCTCATCAGTCCCAGGATCACCTTCCATCCTGCATCAGATGTTGCCACTCAGCAGCAATTGCATCTTCAATACCGTTCAATGGCTGCTTGAAATGAAAACCACAAAGTGCTGTCTGTTGTTTTTTTCCGACTTAAACAGTATAGATACTCAGCTGAATTCAGGGTATTATTATTTATTCATAAGCTTCACTAAGATTCATGCTCTGTCTTGCAGATTTATTAATTTCTTTCCCCAGAACTAAAGTCTAATCCAGCAGGTTTTTCTAGGTCAGACCAGGGGTCATTAACCTTCACTCAGAGTCATCCCCTGCCTCGTGTCTTCCCAAACGATTCCCATTCCAGAGCAACAAATTCATAGCACCCTTTGTAGAATTTACTTAAGATAAGCTAATTAAAAAGGACAGGTCAGCGACTGTTATCTAAGGCTTCAATAATATCATTTACAACTTTTATGGAGGCTGTAACTCTACTGTGCTGTTTCCTGAAACTAGAGTGGTGATAAGATTTTCTCTGCAAATAGATATTTCTTAAGCTGATCATTAACAAGTTTGTCAGACATCTTTAATAGATTACATAGTTTAACAGAGATCAGCATTTTTATAGGACAATAAAAGGGAACAATTTACAATAACATACACAAAATTAACTTCATTGCTAGATGATGCCTGCAGAACTAATCAGTAACTAATGGAAAATTAACCAGTACTAATGAGTTACCTGCAAAACACAGAGTAAGTATTCAGGAACTAATGTATAGTTACAAAATTGCAAGGATAGATTGCAAGATAAGAATCCCAAAATCCCTGGAGGTGTAGGCGCTTCTACCAAACTCTGACCCAGGAGGGGTGAACACATATACATGCTAAAATGTATTTGTTTTTTCTTTTTATAAAGAAATCTGAATAATCCTCCATTGACACGATCAGGTTTCGGATTTTTGACCCAAAAGCAGAGGCAGGGAGGCAGAGGTGAATTTCTCGTGGATTTAATGATAGTAACTGAAACACAGAGGCAGGTAATACAAAAATCCAAATATGAAATGAAAACCAAAACAAACAGGCAACCAGGAATCCAAAATGAAAACTAAGTCCAAACAAACAAGAAACCAGGAGTCCAAAAATCCCCAAAAAATCAAAACATGAAAATAAGTCAAAAACGAATCAGAAACCATGGAGACATCAGGTGGATCACTAACACAAGGAGGAAGGCTCAGAGAGACAGAGTTGGAGGAAGTTAGACGAAGTTAGATGAGGACCAAGCAAAGAGGAACTGAAGAGAGAGAGACAGAAACAAAGAGAGGGCTAATGAGCAGATTGGGAACAGGTGAGCTAAGAGCAGAACAGAAAGGGAGCTAGGGAAAAAGGAGAACACAAGAGGGCAGCAAATAAAAACCTGGAAGACTGAAAATAACTAGAAAAGACAATGAAATAGGAATTAAACCACTAAGACTATAAAAACATGGAGCAAAGTAAAACTAAACACTCAAAAGAAAACATAACAGAACCAAGACTAAGACAGTAACTCAGAAAAAAACAAAGAACACAACAAATTAAGAATTAAACCATAAAAAACATAACAGAAACCTAACATCCATGAAAAAGGTGGATAAAGGTGAAGGAGATATTCTGCTGACAAGAGAAAGTTATGGAATTAAACTCTGTCTTTGAAAGGTGGACTTTAAAACCTCTTTAGACTTTAAAATGAAGTAGAAGAAAAACCGATGAGTGGAAGAAGTTTAACAGTTTAATACAAAGTATTCCCTTAAACCCACAAACATTTGGGTGATTTTATACATCAGAGAGTGAACATGGGCATCCCCAGCTCCCTGATAGCCAAAGATCTGTTGGATCGCTGCCTCCGCTCTGCTATCGCTGAGAGATTGAAGCAGGAAGGCTAAACGATGCCTGCTGCGGTCTGGACCCCCCTCCCTCCCAATAGCCTGGTCACCATACTTGCCTGAGGTGCAACCAGTGCCGATGGATGTGCACTGATGTCAGTCAGACATGGATCACAGCAGGCCATGGGTCACTGGCTCCTTACAAGGCCTGTGTTGTGCAATTGTAGCCAAGCCTTTCAGGATGAATCAACAGCATGGTTTCAGGTTCATATGTCAGCATATCGGTTTATTTATTTCATTTTCTGTCAGGTGATATCAGTGTATGAGTTGAGCGAAGGGAACCAGACTGTTCTACGATGACGCTCTCTCAGCACCATATTAATGATATTCTTTTATTTATAGAAGTGAAATGGAAGCAATCACTGCAAAAAGCCAAAACCCAGACAGAAACACGTCCCAGCAGAGACCAAAGAGTCCAGCTCTGGGATTTCCAGGGTCAGGTTTCAGCCTTTGTCTGGCGCACTCCCAGCTTTCCTCCTCCGGGGAAGTTACAACAACACGACCACTGACTGATTAAGCAACCGCACTAAAAGCAGCTGGACTTTGTGCGGCTGTAATCAGGCAGATGTGGGGGGACAGGTCATTCTGTGTAAACACAACATTTCCCAAAGAGACAACAGCTAAATCTGAACTCCTGACTTTGTAACTGATTTGGGTGAAAAAAGGTTAAATTAGATTTTTTTTTAAATAAAGCATAATTTATACTTTACTAATTAAAGTTTCCATGAACTTTAGATCAGTAATCCATAACTACATGTTTCCTTGGGGAATAAATATGACGTGACGCAGAAGCCCATTTTAATTAGCTGCTGATCACAGGCTTGATGAAAGCCTCTGTTCATCTTGGCATCAGGCAGAGTGAGCAGGATGCTAAAGGACATAAAACCATCACCACACCTCTGGAAGAGAACTGGAACCAAGAGAGACATCTTAGTTCATGACGTCTCCATGACAATGTAAGACATTAACAGTAAAAGCAAAAATAGTTTGTTTATCCTACTCTCTCTTCGCATGTAGCATTCCTAATGTTAAGCATAACGGAGGATCCGTCATGATGTCCGTCATGATATCTTTATATTTCAAAGAACTCCAGGTTCACTGTATTTCTCACACATCTTACTGTCCCAGTTAATAAACATTTTCCAGGAGGTTAACTGATGAAGCTGTGCATTTCTGGACCAGGTGTAACCAGAGCAGCAACCTTGAGCTATTTAGAATGGACCATTTTGGATTAAAATGTGAACCTGTTGCTCTAAATGGTTCATGTTGGCAGGACAGGAAGTGAATGGAGCGGAGGGACCATCTTTCTCCCTAGACCTTCTGTTGTCATCGCTTTTCTATGCATCCTTCTGGAGTAATTCCTAGTCTGTTTTTGCCTTCAATGTAACTATAGTTAAGTGGGAGACAAGACTAATTTCCATCCCTGAACAGCGACGCTGTTATGACCTCTGCACTGATGTAGGGTCTGATTACTAATTTCATACACCTGCTTAGCTCCGCCCAGTTCTTATTACTCGCTTCTCTGATCCTTCTGCATTAATCTCTATTTAACCAGCCTTCAGACCAGTCATCAGTGCCAGATTATTTTGAGCCGTTGTTGAGACTTATTCCAGCATTCCTGTTTTCTGATTACCTGATCCTGACCTGTTCTGCCTCTCGACCTCTAAGCCTGCCTTTTCCTGTCTGATCTGTTTGCCTGACCTGTCTTCTGACTCCTGCTGGATCTCTACCTGTTTCTGTACCGTACCTGGAACTGTGACCCAAGCCCATCCTGGATTCTCTCTTGGCACTTCGCCGGACCTCTGACCTCATGGCTCTGACAACCCGAGCATGTCAACAACATCGGCTTTGGCTTCTCCCTCTGGATCATCCTGTTTACATCCGTCTCCTCAGTTCTGATCTCCTGTTTGTCCTCCGACTACTGATAGATCAGCATTTGGGACCCTCTATTCTGCAACCGCCATACTTCGTTGGCAGCTGGCCAGCTGGAACCATACTCACCCTCTGGATTTGGACTGAACTACAAGACCAGGTTAGTCACTCATCTATCCATTATCATCCAAAGACGTGATCACTTACCTGCTGTCTCCACCCGCAGGGGTTTACGCCTTATACGCCGACGCCACTCACTCCGACTCAGTTTTTAATAAACGTTTTGGGAAATCTGTTTGTCTGCCTTGAATACTGGATCCTTATCTTCTGACACTGACAGATACTCTCGGTGTATCTGATGCATCGCATTGGAATGGACGTTACAGATAACTGCACTCTGCTGACCCTAATAAACCGCAGGGCTCCTTCATGTCTTCTCACATCTGCTCGCTCTAGATCCAGATATGTAAACTTTAAACACTTTCAATAAGGTAAAAAAACATGCTGGATTGTCGGAGGCCTTGTCAGAAAGGCCTGAAGGAGACGCTTATTTGAACTTCATTATTTGAGGCGTTTTCTCTGTTGTCTTCGGTTCTTTCAGTCTGTTTCCTTCTAACGTTTGAATGAAAGATGCATCTTTTGTTTACATATTTATTAGCTGTGGATTTCAGCACAAATCAAGCTTGACATTCTGCCTGATTGCATATTAGGGATGCATGAGAGAGAAGCGTGTTCTGCTTGTGATCGTCACTTTGTTCCACTAACACAAATAGTTGCTGCCTTAGTTGGAGGAAATCTGACACTCAGAGTTCATTAAGATGATGCCTGAGGACCGAGGAAAAATGCTATTTATAAAATTCTTGTTTATGATCAAATATTCTTGTTTAAGGAAATAAATCTGTTGATGGGGTAAGTTAAAGATGCTTTGTTTATGTTTACTTTGGTTTTCTGGTGCCCTCTTTTTGTTATGTTATCTGTTTTCTGTTCCTCTCATCTCATACAGGTGGAGAAGCAGACTTCTAGGAGTCGATTTTTTGCG